GGCCCCCCCCCCCCCCCTTCTTCCATGCTGCTCGCCCAAAGCCTGCCCACCTACAAGGGCCCCACGGTGAAGTCTCATCCCTGTCTTCTGTCCCCATCCTGCTGGACCTGTGTTCACATCCTGTGCCATATATAATATTTTGGGCAACTGAATCAGTGTGTCTTATATTGATCTCTAACTTTTTCATATATGCTAGAAGTTCCAGTCTGCCAGTTAGAATGTAAACTGTTTGAGGGCAGGACTCATGGGCCATGATTTTTCTTGTATTTCTGAAATTTAATGGGAAGAAAAATTAGGCCAGTAGTTTGGGCTACTCCCAGCTCTGCACTTAATAGCTGTGTGGCCCAGAGATCCCTTAATTTCTCATGACTTTGTTTCCCTATCTCTAAAATGGGGGTAATACTTCCTAATCCAGCATCCTTGAAATGACTAAATGAAATAACATGAAAAGGATTGTGACTTATATTGTGCCATGTGATGGTGAGCTATGATTACCTCCAGTAACCCCCAGCCCAATGCTCTAGAAACAAGTGACGGCTACTTCTAGGTTGCAGGTTTTGTACTAACCTCTCTTAACTGAATTTTGTATAATTCATTTCAGCCAAAATAATCAAGGCATTCCTTTTCGTGAGTTAGTTTTCTTTAAACACACAAAAAAGGAAACACTTGTTGTAGTATCTCCTCTGCCCAGTGGGTGATAAGCGTCCCCCAGGTCTCCCAGGCGCCCAGCTTGGGTCCTTCCTGGTCTCTCCCTGACTAAAACCTCCTCCCTCCCTGCAACCCCTCCAGGCCAGGCTGGTGGGGACCTGGGCATGGGCAGTGTTGGCAGATGCCAGGCCATGCCTGTGGGGGCTGGGAGGACGTTACCACTTTGTAGGCAGGCCGGGCACTGGGGTCGGGGGCCGGGCTGGCCGGGAGCTGCAGGCTCCTCCGCTTATCCTTCATAGAGCCACTCTGGTGCCGCCGCATGCGGTCAATCTGCTCCTCCACGCTCATCTTGACTTTGCCCTCGCCAGGGAACACAGCACTCTTGGGGCGCTCCTGCTGTAGTGGGAGAACGGGGCTCTGACTGGTGCCTCACCCCCCCACCCAGATTTTTCATCTGCCCTAATCCCCTAAAATTTCCCTTCTCTGGGAAGCCTGCCTGTAACAGGTTGAAGAGTGGACCCCAAAAGATATATCCAAGTCCTAACCACAGTACCTGTGAATGTGACCTTATTTGGAAATAGGGTCTTTGCAGATGTAGTCAAGTTAAGGAGCTCAAGATGAGACCATCTTCAATTAGGGTGAGCCCTAAATCAAATAACGGGTGTCCTTATAGGAAACAGAAAAAAAGAAGACATGTAGAGTAGAAGGTGATGTGAAGGTGGAGACAGCAGTTGGTGGGGGCGGGGGGGCTGCGTCTACAAGCCAAAGATTGCCAGCAACAGCCAGAGCCAGGAGAGAGGCATGGAATGGAGGCTCCCTCAAGCCTCCAGAAGGAACCAACCCTGCGGACACCTTGATTCTGGACTGCTGGCCTCTGCAACGGTGAGGGAATAAGCTTCTATTGTCTTAAGTCACCAAGTTTGTGGTGTTTTGTTAACTTCCTAGCAACCCCAGGAAACTGACACGGTGCTTCTGGTCAGCACATTTGACTCTGACCACTGACTTCTGCGTTTTGTATTTCATCACTGGCACATTACAATAATTTTGTTAAATATTCTTATATCTTTATTATGTATAGCTTCCTTGTCCCGTGGCGTCTCCCTGAAGGAGAACTCCTCTGCTTGCCTTCTTTCTTCTTGTTCTACCTTCCTCCTCTAGCCCTGGGTTTCTTGAACAGTGACAGATAGGCGGACACACGGAGGCCGCTGGGCTCCCAGCCCAGCTCAGGCCTGCCCGAGCTCTTGGGGCCTGTGGGCGTGCGCTCACCCGGGCGGAGAGTCCATTGGTGAGCCCGCTGGCACTCCTCTTCACCACCCTTGATGGGGTCACTTCTTCGTCAGTGGGTGACTTTGTCCGAGGCGGCACAATGCCAACTGCAGGGAGAGACAGTAGCCAGTGGGTCCCATAAAAAGGGACATAGGGCAGCCTGCTTCTCAGAGAGGCTCAGTCCCGCCCTCCATGGAGGTGAGAGGCCCAGGTAGGGAAGCACCTCCTTGGATGTGAGCGAGCCCCTCTCTGGGCTCTTCTCTGACCCTTAGCCTCACCTCCAGGGGAGGATGGAACAGAAAGTACCTTTGTTGAGAGCTGCCTGCTTCTCTGCTTCCACCTCTTGCCTGGTGGGCACAAGGCTGACGTCTCTAGTGGTGTCCAGGGGTGATGTCTGGTGGGGGTCTTTCTTGCTTTGCTCATAGCTTGCCTTGGGCTAGGGAGAAGGGATGAGAAGATGGATGGATGGTGCTAGAGTGACCACCGAGAGTTTGGTCCCTGGTGGTGTTTCTTTGTTTTGCAGTGGTGGGAGTGCAAACCTTTGAAAAAACATGGGGCAGGGAAACTGTGTGTGCTAGCTGGGAAGTGGGCAAGGATGCACTGGAGCCTCCCACCCATGCCACCTTAAGACTGGCCAATGTGTGGTCCTTTTGGGGAATGAGGGCTCAGGGCCTCCAGGAGGGCCTCTGTTGAGGCCCATCAGAGAGATCCCTCAGCCCAACCAGTCCTCCTGGCAAACACGAAAAGCACAGACTTGCTGTGAGCCAGAGGAGGAATGGTTGGAGGAGGGGGCTACAAGGCCAAGGATGTCTGTGGATTCTGTTGGGATCCCACCCAAGACTTGAGCAAAAGAATAAGATGAGCTTTGTGGGAAGGAAAAGGGCATTTGGGTTGTGGTCTCACAGAATCATGTGGCTAGAAAGGGACCTCAGACATCATCTGAGCCATCCCCTCCCACGGGGATGAAGAATTAATTCTCAGTGAGGGGAGTACAGAGAGACTAGACCAGAGGTCACAAACTCCAGCTCTGGCCCAACTACAGAGCACGGGTAAGTCCTATCACCTTTCTTTGTCCGTAAAACCGAGGCAATGATACCTGCTCTGCCCACCTCACTAGGCAGACCCTCAAGGGTTGTGCATCTTACCAGTAAGTAGCTGAGCCTATTTTAGGAGTCTTTCTACTCACCATGCAACCTCTTCCAAGCCTAACTGCATATTTCTCCTAGATCTTGGCTAGGGATCCAGGTGAGAGGAGGAGCCAGAACAGGGGAGAAAAGGGTCTGTATCCTTACACTTCAGGGGCTGATGAGAGTCAGAGGACATAGACGAGGCAGAGACACAGGCAAGGGGAGAGGGAGAGCATGGGAGGATTGGGGTCTGAGGTGCACAATGGCAGGAAGGGACTGGAATGGCACCAGTGGGGGGTGGGGGGGGTGTCACTGGATTTCCATCGTCTGGTCATGCTGGTAGGGATGGGGGCATAACCCACCACCTACAGCCATGGGCTGCCACAGGGTAGGGCAGCAACTCATGTTTTCATCGTCCACAGGAAGCAAAAAGGGGAAAGAGGACCAGTATGAGGGCCTCAGCCATCCCTTGGCTTATCCCAGAGTCTGACAGAGGGCCAGTAGAAGCTGAGCTGTGGGAAAATTAATACCGGAATGGGAACAATGACTTGGTCTCCTGCTGGGCCCCGCTCCCTCCGTCCCTGCCCTCCAGGACCCAAGGGTGTTGGGTACCTGACCCCTGGCTGTCTCGCCACTGCGGTGCCAGGAAGGGGAGTTGGGGTATGGCCAGAGGCGGCTCTCACTAGGGAGTGGAGGCACGGTGGGAGGAGACTCCAGGGGGACGTAGGCTTTGGGGAGGGGAGGCCGCGGGGGGCCAGGCTCCTGAGGCAGAGAGAAGCCAGAGCATTAGGAGGAGCAAGAGCAGCCACTGTGAGAGCAGAAGAAAAGAGCATTAGCAGAGGCGGACGACAACATTGCTGGAGCCTGGGGCGGGGCCCTGGACCACCAAACTCCCACCCGTCGCCTGGATGGAGTTCCACCTCCAGAGCTAACCCTGCCTGGCCTACAAGGCCCTCCTCTACTGAGCCCCCGCCTGTGCACTGGTCCCCCATTTTCTCTGAAGCTCTCTCCTCATTGTCTCCATTGTCTCCATGTCGCATTGGGCACAGCCCTCCCCTGTACCTTTGCTTCCGCCAGCTCTCCAGCCTGTAATGCCTTTCCCTTGTTCCACTACCTGTCCCAATGCTTCATGGCCCAGTTTAAGTTCCACCCTCTCTTTGGAACATCAGAACATTTACAATCTGAACCACGTGGCTCAGTATTGAGACATATGCCACCACGTTCCAGAGGAGGGTTGTTCACTGTGAATGGGTCTTGGTCCCCATTGGACGCTGGGTGGGTGAAGGCCCTCAGGCATCTTTCTGAGAGGGTCTCATACCATCCCTTGCCCAGAGTAGAGCCTCAGAAAACACTTGCTGATCGACTGACTAGGCAAATGCCCCCCACACCAACCCTCAGCCCTCTCACCCGCAGAACAATCCTAGATTTAAATTCCTATTAAGTGTTTGGTGTCTCTGCTAACCATCCTGGTGCTCAGGAAGACTTCCCTGAAAGGCAACTAAAGATGACAGTTGGAGATGAGAACAAGTAAAGGAGAAGTCTGGAGGGAGGGTCACCATACTGGGCGTGAGAATGACTACCTTAGACAGAGATGAAGCACACTACGACTGGAGGCCTCTGGGGAAGAGATGGGCACAGAATTTGTATAAGTTCAGGCAAATGAGGACCTAGTCCTCCCTCCCCCACCCACCTTCCTCTCCGTGATCTCAGCTTACCTCAGTGGACCCGGGCTTAGTGGGGGACCCCTGAGAGCCAGACACCAATGAAAAAGGGCTCAGGGGGCTGGTGAGGCTGGTGGAGCTGAGAGGGCTGGCGGGGCTGTTGGAGCTGTAGGTGCCTGAGGGGCCAAGTCCTCCTTTGGGGAAACAGAAGAGGAGAGAGATGAGGGAATGGGTAGGGGTGTGGACTGGAGTGTGGCTGGGCTCTGTAGGTGGAGAAGGCAGGGGAGGATTTAGGGTCTCAGGGCCACCTGGGCCTGCTGAAGGGACTTATAACGGGCCGGCTCACAGGTTGGCCGTTGAGAGGCGAGCTGGGCAGGAAAAGATAATGGATGGAAGTGACACCACTACCTCAAAGGTGTCACAGAAAGCCAGCCCAAGGTCCCTGGGCTGAAGGAAGACACTAAGGTAATGGTCTCAGATCACCAGTGGGCCCATGGGCTTAGGGGCTGGGAAGGTGCAGGTGCTCTTTGACCTGTTCTGGGGAGGAATCTAGACGCAACAGCATCTCTGATTGGTATATCTGGTCTATTCTGGGCAGGGGGAAATTTCTGGGGCCCTGAGAAGGCCCTGACTGGCTCTGAGCACAGTGTGAGGGCCTGGAGAGGTATGAGTTGGCAGGTGTAGGATGGAGACCAGAGACACTGGAGGTTTTTCTGGTGAGGTCAGGAGCCAGGAGGCTGGTGGAGAGAGCGCCTACCTCTGTGCTTGGCTGTGTCTGTGCCCCGGGACGGGTTATTCTTCCTCAGCCCCTCCATCACATCCTGGATCCTCCAGATCTCCTTCTGGATTTGTCGGTTGAGCACCTCATTCTGAAACAGCCAGAGAGCAGGTCAAAGGAGGTGGCTACCAAGGAGTGTCCCGGCGGGAGCTTTCACGTGCCCATGTACACACACACATCCCTCTAGCACACTCATCTTTCTCATGGGCAGCCTTTGCCTCTTCGGCTTCCGGAATTGCAGGAGGAGAGGGCTCTGCCATCACAGCAAAGAGCACTTTTAGGTGAACATGTGGCCTCAGAACGAAGGGAGTGAGAACCTGTCCCTCTGATTCCACCCCCCACCCAGGGGAGCTCAGGGTGGTCTTGGAGTGAACGCCCCTCTAGGTGGACACCTGATGGTGGCCTGTTCTCCAGGGGCAAGAGCTTCTGGTTTACTGTCTTGTTTCACATACTGTGCGACTGTTTGATATGCATGAATTCTACTCAGTTATAGTGTCCACTCTGAAAAATAATAGCTACCTTTCATTTAACATTCCCCGCCCCGCTGCCCGCCCATACCAGGCACTGTGCTGAGTGCTTTGCACACATGAACTCACTGCGGCTGCACAACACCTCTACGAGGCAAGGACAGCAGTTGTCTCCACTTCAGAGGCGAAGAGGCTCACGCCCAAGACCATCTGTTAGTAAGCAGTGTGGCCACCATCTGAATCTGCTCTCAAGAGCTGGGGCTCTTGACCGTGACGCTATCCTACCTCCCAAAATGTTTGCGTTGAAAGTGAGGCTTGCCCACAGAACATGGTGGCATTTGGGGCCTCTGGTCCAGAGGCTAACCTAACCTAGCAAGCTGCAAGGTTGGGTGGAAAGTTTTGTTACCAGGAGGGAAACAGGAGGAAAATGGGGGAAACCAGGGTGTTAACTGCATCAGAGAGACAGGGCTTGCAAAGCGAGCTAGAGAAGGGGCAGAGCCTGGGAAGAGAAAAGACAGAGGAAGGAAAAGAAGGAGAATGCTCCAGGAATGTCCATCCTCCTGCCTCCAAGCAGAGCGTTTTTGACCCATCCCAGAAAGAAAGGCCTCTTCCCACCTAAAAGTTCCCCGGGGGATGGCTCCCACACTGCGTACTCTTCTGATGTCATGACAGAGATTTGTATTTATCATGATCTTGTTTACAGTCACATATCTGTTAAAGTCTCCCATGCTTCAACTTTTCTTCTTCCCCCATGATTGGATGGAACTAAAGAACGATCCCACATTATCTTCACCCTGAAACTCAGAGGACCTGAACCCTGTCTTTCATCTCAGGACCAACTCCTGGTCATAAGTCTCTGAAATTTCTAAAGCAAGAAAGGAAGCCACCGTGGTCTCTTTCGGCCAAAATGACAAAGGAGGGCCTGAAGCACCCACAGCAGCCCCACCTGCCTGTGGGCCTCTTCACCTGAAAGTCCAAGCTGAGCTGCTCCCAGAGCTCGTCGTGCAGGGCAGAGACCTCTGCCTCCAGGCCCTCGTACTCCATGGTGCTGCTCGCCAGGGCCTGCAAGGGGAGGGCTTACTGAGAAACTGCAATCGCCAAACCGCCCCTCCTCATCCTGCCTCAGGGCCTGGGGCCCGGGTACCAGAGGGACGGGAGAGGACACAGGGCTGAGACATTCTGATGACAGCCAAACACTGGCCTTTTAGGAGGTGCAAGAGCCCAGCCTACTGCATGCCCAGAGAGAAAACGGAATCCTCTCTGGATGGTAGGCAGGCCAAAAGGGGCTAATCTCACACTCACACCCCTCCTGTTCTCCTCAGATTGGGTGATAGAGAGTAGAGGGCAAAAGAGGAAAGAGCTGGGGGTGCCTGTTCTCTGGAGGTTAGAGACCTTCCTCCCTCTGGGCCACAATTTCCTGGGGCTTTTGCTGAGGCTCTCTGTGTCAGAGGGTCTGCCCTGTGCCTGCTGGGAAGTAACCAGGGTGGTGTGTTGCCGGTATCCTGGTTCTCCAGGGGAGAGGAAAAGGGCAGCAAAGCTGTTAGAGCAGCCAAGGAAATAAGTGGCCCTCAACGTCACTTTGTCCTGAATGAATCCTGGTGCAGATACGGCTTGTGGGAAGAAAGCCAGTCTCGCTGGTGGAGACTCAATGGGATGAGCAGGCTGGCACATTTGCTGCCTCTTTGTACGGCAGTGTTAAGGTCTTTGTTTATGCCCCTCGCAGACAGCACCCTGCTCTCGCCGTCAGAGGAGAACAGGAATTAGAGGAGCACAGCTGGGAGGGTGGCTCCCCGCTGCAGGTGCTGACCGGGGTGGGGGCACACACCCAGCTCCCAGGTTACCGTGGTTGCCTGAGACAGCTCCACCCGGATGTGGATGAGCTGGCTCTGCAGCGACTCCTTCCTGTGTAGCAGCTTCTCTGGGTAGGCAGGCTGGTTTCCAAACATCTCCAGTTCCTGATGGGTCCCCATCAAGGCACTTTCCAGGCTCTCCTGTAGAAAGGCAGGGGAATGGCTATGAGCGGCCTTGATATCTCCTCTCCTGGGCTTTCAGCAGCAGAGGCCTGAGCCCTAGGGGTTCAACCAGGCAGCTTAGTGGAGGTTTCCCTCACACTGGCTAAGGTCCCCAGAAGAGCTTCAGCAGGTCTGATTAAGGGCAGGACAGAAGTTTAAGGAGGGGCAGAGCTTCATCAGCTTAGTCAGGATGGAGACAGCAATCCACACCTTCTCTGGGCCAGCCCCCCGTCTGCCCCACTCAGGGCCACCCCATGGCTCTCACCTTCTCAGCTCGGAGCTGCTGCACCAGCCGTTCCTGCTCCCTCACCACCTTGCTCTGCTCACACAAGTTGCCCAGCAGCTTCTGGGGGCCCCAAGGGGGGAAGGGAGGGAGAAAGAAAGGAGTGAAGAACACGGTTTGATGGGGACCTGGGAATTGGGTTGGCAGGGCCTGGCCTCTGGATACCACCTCCTCTTCCCTGCCAAGGAACCCTGGGCCTTCACCTTGACCTTGGAGGCTCCTGGGAACAGGAAGATGGTCTTCACCTTGGGAGACTCTCCAAAGACCCATTGGGAGGGGAGATAAATTTATTCTCTGAGGAAACGAGTCAGCTTGAGAGGGGCGAGGGCTGAGAGCCAAATGTTAAGCTTCTGCACTCCCATCCTCTTGGGGTTCCAATTCACCAGGGGTTCAGGAGATAACACGGCCTCGCCTCCTAGGCCTCCAGGTGTGTATGAATTAGAGGCGTAGGCCGGTTTCTGAACAACAGTCTTAGCAAAACCGTTGAACAATGTAAACTGGTTCCCTAGTCCCACAGGACCCTGATCTCCCCTCCTCCTTCCAGAGTCTCAGGATGGCTGATGGTGGCTCCCTCTGAGGTCTGGTCCTTGCCTGTACAGAGCGTCTCCCCTGCCTGCTGGGCAGATCTGCTACCTAGGCAAGGCAGGTTAGGCCAAACTTGTCTTCTGGGAAGACCTGTGCTTTCCTGCGCCCACACCTTTATCAATGCCACTCCTCAAATACCCCCTTGGCTACTTTCTAGTGGGCCAAATCTTGTCCTCTGGGCCCTTTATTTCAAGGCCCAGCTCACGTGCCACCTCTTTTGTCCCTGGGCCTCCACCAGCCCACGTGGTCCCCCTGCCCCGCACTCCTGCAGACCCTGTTACAGTCCGCTCAGCATATGAATCCTGTGCTGCCGCCTGCTGCTCCCTGGGCCTCCCACTGCCCAGAGGCTCCCTGAGGGTGGAGCCAGGCCTCATTCTTCTTTCCAGGCACCTGGGGACTACATGCTCTACCTCCTAACAAAGTCTGTGCTCCTGAAATAAGCACAAGCCAGCGCTGTAGATAAGAGGGCCTCGAACTCAGTGGAGAAACACACACAGCCACGGTGGGAGGTAGGGGTGAGTGGTAAGAACGAGAGGAGGCCCAGGCAGAATGTTGTCTTTGCGGTGAGAGAGGACAGGAATGAAATGTATGAAGGGCCACAGGAGATGAGAGATGGACGGAGGAGAAGCCCCCACGGAGGACAGTGAGGATGAGAAGGGCAGCGGGAGGGGCTGGAGTGGACAGAGGCAGCGGGAGAGCTGTTCTTACATCTGTGTCTTGCTCGTTTAGCTTGTAGGTGTGGAGGCTGTCCCGGAACACTTCTGGGTATGGAGGGACCTGCAGGAACAGGAGGCCGGTTACCACAGCAGAGGGCAGCCCAGGCAGGGCACGCAGGGACGGGAGCGCTGACAGTCTCGCTCCGTTCCTGCCACCGACCACAGTCCCATCGCCTCAGGTAGCATCTGTTCTGGGGACCTGGCCGGAAAGCGTGGGACAGCCCGGCCTAAGCTCCGCCCCAACTGTCCTGGGCTGATTCTGGAGGTAGAGATGCTGCTCACTCGTGCTCTGTATCTCCTCTCCGCTAAGGTCTAAAATCTACTGCCAAGAGGGGCTCCAGGGCTGTGTAGCTCCCCAATGGCTTTCTGGTAACAACCATGAGAACAGCAGTTAAGTCCTGGCTGTTTTTGATAAGGATAAGACCTGGGAGAACAGAATGAGCATTGGAAGAATTTGAGAACGACCACCCTACGAGATTGAACGCCAGCCCCAGGGCTTGTGTCTCTGAGTCCAGCAAAGGCGCCTGCCCTTGGTGACACATGCAGCAACCATAGCACATTCGACACAACTCTGTCACTGGATGGTTCCATATCACACCCCTCATGTCCTTCACCCCAACAACTGTTAAGAAGATACCAAACATGAAAGAGAAGTCCTGAACGTTAAAAAGCAGCTTTGCGATCCCTGGCATAGCAATGAGATGTCAGTGCTGGCTATTTTGGTGGCCTGGGAAATGGGCCTGGGTTCACCCATGAACGTGAAGAATGGTGGAGACACAGTGAAAATAAAGGAGGGAGGCCAGGCTGAGCCTGGGAGATGAGGCCTGGCAGGTGAGCAGGCGGAGTGGACTCATCCCTGATGGGTGGACGCGACCATGCACAAGCAGCCGAAAAATGGTGTTGACAGGGACCATGCTGCCAGGCAGAGGTCTTACTTGCATGAAGAGTTGGGCCCTGGGGGAGGAGTTCTCCACCATGCGGTTCACCATACTGATGAGAGTCTCACTCTCACTCATCTGTAGCAGAGGGAGGAACAGACGATTCAAACTCAGACCCACAGAGAGATGTCTCCCCACGCCCGCCTGTGCTTGCTTTCCAGGAAACAGGAAAGGACAGCTCCTCCTGAGGCCTCCAGCATCCTCTGCCTGGCCTTGCCCATCACTCACCCCTCGTGAACTCCATCTCAGGACCCGCACTGAAGTTGCCCTTGAGGAAAGCCCACAGAAGGGAGCTGGGAGGCCACTGTGCCCTCGCTTGTGGCTCTGAAGAGGCCCCAGCCCAGTGACACTTCCCCAGGGTGCCTGAGTGTGGTGGGTCTCATCCCATTGGACCGGCTCTCATTTCTCACACTGGTTTGGTCAAAGACCACACAGGCAGTTGGGAAGTCCGATCTCCCAAAATCTGAACTAAATGAAACGATGTTAAAGAAAACGTGACCGGCTCTTTGGATGGGCCGTCACATTGGGAAGGCACAGGTCTCTCTTCCCAAACCCTGCCCACCTCTGCCCTAGAGTAGAAAGGATTGCTAAACACGGTTTCCAGAGCTGGGCTGGTAGCATCCATGCCAATCTGGGATGGCGCCAGGGAGCAAACAAGGAGGCCAAAGCAAGTAAGCCACGTTAAAGGGACACCAGAGATTGGAACACTGCTCTCCCAACGTGTTATCCTTATGCTTCAAGGATCATCAGGAACATGGAGGGGGAAAGACTATTTGCCAGATGAAAACGAAAGAGAGAGGAAGGGTGAGGGAGAGGGTCAGGGAGGGAGGGAGGCGAGCCACCAACTCAGCCAGGAGCGCCACCATTTCCCCCACTGCTTCCAGTGTGACAGCGTCAAATGTAAACATATCAGGCAGTGTCCTTGGCTACGTACTGTCCCTTTAACTCAGTGGATCTCCCGGAGAAGGCAGCAGAAGACAGAGGGGAGTTGTGCAGGAAAAGCTTCTTGGGGAGGGGCAGTGAGTAAGGGAAGGGCCGGAGCCACCTGAGGGCAGATCTTCTCAGGTCACAGTTCAGGGAACCCCCACGTTTCTTGCCCTTGTCTTCCCGATCTTTGTCGGACCCACACATATTTCCCTCTCGCCCTGTTTAGGCGGCAGCCCTGAAGCAGCCTTGCTTCTGCGCCCCTCCACCCCCGTTCACAGGCTCTGGAGCATTTTAAAAGGCTTTCCTAGGATCTGATTTTCCTACTTCTTTAGCCCAGCTGGGAATTTTTTCTATGATATAAAGTGTTATTTAAAAGGCTTTTAAAAGAGCAATTGCAATATGAGGTTGAGTCTTTGCAAAATGGTTAAAAGTCAGCAGTGCATCAACCACATGTTCTGGAAGGATCTGAACTCAAGTCAGTGCTTATCTTCTTAGAGGCTGTGCGCGTGCATGTGCGCGTGTGCGTGTGCATGAGACTGTGCTTGCTGTGCATGGGGTGCGCCAGTGTGGTGTACGTGTGATTGTATGTGGTATGTGTATGTTCATGTTTGCTGCCTGTGTGTCATACCTGTGTGTCCTGTGTGTGGTGTTTACGTGTATGTGTGTAGGACAAGGCAGATCTACCAACACATCAGGCTTTGAGAGGGCAAGGGAGGCCCAGGCTCTTCTTGGTCACCCACAGGTCTCATTCCTTCCCCAACCAGTAGATCTGAAACAATAGAGGAAGCAGGGGTCTTCTCACCCTGGCCTCTGCCCCCACACATGCTATGGCTTTCAGGATCGTTCAGCCCACGTGGGCCTCGCCTCTAGGAGGATTCCTGTGTGCCACCTTCTGTCTCTCCAAAATGTTAGAGAAATTTCGTGAGAAAGCACCTAACCCCGTACCTTATACACAGCACTGGGGTCAAGGGTGGTCAATTAATATTTTTGAGTTTTGGAAGAAAAAGAACAATAAAATAATCATAGTAGGAATCAATAGGCCTCATCAATGCCTGCCAAAGTGCTCTCATATACATTCTCACCCGACTCTCCCAATAACTCTGTGAGGTAGAAAGGGCAGGTCCTACAATGTCCGTCTCATGATTGAGAAAACAAAGACCCAGAGAGACCAAGGTTTAAAAAAAAAAAATCCCCGTAAATGGCACAGCTGGAACTAGAGTGCAGTGTCTGACTATGTCCTGCACTCTTCTTATCATACAAGACTGCCTTTTAAGAGTATTATCGTTTATGTAGGGAGAGGTCCTCTGAAAGGTTATTTCTGAAGCCCGCAGCCCCTCTGTGAGGGCAGAAGCCCCCAGGAAGGGGCCCTGCCATCTGCACTGAATGCTTGGAAAGCCAGCAGTGTGGATGGGCTGCGGGCAGGAGGGCCTGCCGGGAGTCATCCGCACGTGGACTAGAATGCTTATGGTGTCAACACCACATGCTCCTTCTGGGACTAAAATGCAATGTTCTTGAGGGCCAGGAGCCATCACTGCCGATTAAAATGTGTATATCATGCTTCCCAGTACCCAAGGGCTCCCGTGAGGACGACCTCACTGAGACACCGAGACCCTGTGAGATGACGGTCACATGGCTTGTGACTAGAACCACCAGCATTTGCAGCCACGTCCCCTGATATCAAGTTTATGGTTCTCTCTACAATGTTAAGAGCACAAAATCATCCTGATGAGGTTCAACCCCAGCTTCTTCACATGTTAGATGCTTCCTCAGCTGTAAACTGAGTCAAAAGCTCAGAGTCATATCCAAGCTCTGTTGTTCACTGGTTGTGTGTCCTTGGCGTGTTATTTGATCTCTCTGGGCTTTAGTTTCATCATATCCCCTACGAAATGGGGATAATAACAATACCTACCTTGCAGAGTTGTTATAAAGGTTAGGATCTGTAAAATGCTTAGAATAGTTGCAGGGCATGGAGGAAGCATCCAATTACGGTAACTGCTGCCACTATTATTATTATTATTACTAACATTATTATTTCTACCACCCCAGGCTGCCTCCACCTGGATCTGGTACACATCCAGGTCCCCCATGGTTTGTAGCACAGATCTGAATATGAGCAGGTGCTCATATAAATTGCCCAGCATATTGACCCCTGGCCTGTCTAAACCCAGTATCACAGCCTCCTTAGTCTCAAAAGGCAAGGTGGCCAAAGGTGAGAGCCCAGGCAGCCGATTGCTTTCATCACATGGGGACACTCATTGCCTCTTCAGGATGCTTATCTGTTAACACTGGATTGATGACACTCCCTCTGCCTACAGCACTGAATTCTCAGGAAAACATGAGCCGTGCATACAAAAGAACTTAGTAGCAGAGGAACTAACATATATACCGAATTACCATGATTTTAAAAATCATTGGAGGGCAGGTCTGTGGTCCTTCGCTTACAAAATGTGGAGTTTAACCACAACCTGTGGAATAGGATAGGCTAATTTCCCAGATTCAGGCTGAACTAAATCCTTAGCCTCTTAGGCCCCAGCACAGAGCTCCTCCCTGTCTCTGCAACTCTATCCAGCAAAAATGCAAATTCCCGCCTGCCCCCTGGGGGCAGTTCCATCTGGGTCGAACAAATAGGCGGTGACATTAATTATTCATGTGGTAATTTACAATTCTCCTTTCCCCAGGAAACTCCCAGCTGCCCTAAAGGGCTTTGCAGAGAAGGGGTGTGAAGGTGCAAACCAAAATATAAGCCACTTTGTTGTGTCCTGGTTTTGCCAACAAAGGTTGTCAAATGGATGGGGGATGAGAAGGCGGGGAGGAGCAGGGAGACGTGAAGGGAGGGCAGGGGGATGGTAAGGGGCACCAGCTCTGCCTACCTGCTGATCCAAATACTCTAGGTTTCTTTGCAATTGAAGGTCTAAAAGTTCATCCTACCCGGAGCCCGAGGCCCAACGGCAACACAAACAAACAGGAACAGGACAAAAGAAAACAATAAAAAGGAAGCAAAGCAGTTAAGAGTTAGCTGGGCAGCGACAAAGAGAGGCCTCTCTGGCCTTGAGGAGTCTAGGGAAGGGAGGGGGGAAGGGTGCGGGCAGCCACAGAGGTTGTCTGCTGGACAAGCCCAGCGAGAGGAGGGACACACTCCGAGGCTCCTGGGTCGGCCTGGCCCTGCCCTGGGAGAGGGAAGCACCACTGAAGCCATCTAGTCAGCACTTCCTGGAGCTTTTTCTGAGTTTTCTGGAAAATCCACTGTTTCCGGATGGGTGCATTTGCTGTGTGTCTTGGCTATAGAGTTTGGACACCGGCAGAGAAGACTCAGAGAGAGGGGTCAGTGGCAGGCCGTCGGGGACAAGGATTCTGCCTGTTGGTTCCAGTGGTTTTCCCCAGCTCCCCAGGTGGAGCATCTGCATCGAGTTCTCCGGGTGGAGACAAAAGTCCTCAGGAGAACAAATTCCCGGAAGAGACACAAGTAGAAAGGGGAGAGAAAGTAGCAGGAGACACAGTATGGAAAATCTTTTCTTCCTCAATCCGACTTCTAGTCTCTTTCCCCCAAAGTGACATTCCAGGCAAGGACAAGCTTGAGGCAAGTACGCTTAGGGGTAAGAAGACTAGAAGATCATGCCTGTTTGGGGAGCTCTAGCTTAACTTTTCTTCCCAGCCCACGGCCTAAGCCCCCTGTCCAGGCCCCTCTGCATGCTGGAGGGGAGTTGCTCTGAGACTCAGAGAACTGGGGACATTTCACGCTTCCAGATCTTGTCCCTGCTCCTCTGCCCTGTGTCACAGAGGAGGAGGGGTAACTGACACCACTCTCTATATTGGGGTTAGAGTCCAGGCCGGAGGGAGGAGGTATCCAGAGGCTGCTAAAGACCAGACGGGCCAGGCATTGGGCACAGAGCATCCCTGCGGCTGCCCTAGTTTGGCCCCGCCCTGGGAGGAGAGGTCCTGAGGGGAAGTGGAGTGGGAGGAGAGGACGTACCATCTTATCGTGGACCGTGGGGGATGGTGGGTAGTTGTAGGGGAACAGTCCTGCAGGGACTGGCCGCCTGTCTCCCAGGTAATCATACTGGAAGAGAAAGGGGATTGGAGAGGTGAGGGGGTCCGGCTGGGATATGGACTTCCCCACCAACTGAAGTTCAAGGTTAGGGATGTTTGTAACCTGTCCCAGAGCAGATTTCAAACTAAAATGGACAGCCTTTAACCATTGCAATATCCTTGCAATGATCTGTCCAGGTCCTCAAGATTTGAAAAGATAGAACCCTCTCTGTCCTCTTATATAGAATTAGGGCTCCTGGTACAGTCTGGGGATGGACACAGAGGGCAGTGTTTCTACTCAGGGGCAAGGCAAATCCCCCAAGGCAGCTCTCCTATGGACAGAACCGCAGGGCCAGTGGCTTCCCCTGGGCAGCATCCCTGGTCCTGCTGACACAGCCCAGTGATCCCATGTCCCCAGATGCCCTTGCATCTCCACCTCTTCTCAGCAGATCGTCTTAGGCTTCCGGGGGATCTCAGGGGCTGAGGAAGGAGGGGAAGGCTGGTGGCTCACCTTGGGGGAGCTGATGGATCGCCTCATCACATAGGCAGCAGGGTCAGCATAGATGTCCTCACTGCGAGGTGGCAGCCGCTCGAAACGGGCACTGGGTGAGCGGATGGGGGAGAAAATGCGGGCGCGGCTGTAGGACCCCTGGCTTGGCGAGCGGGGCACAGAGTGGGAACGGGGCTGCAAGGACAGGCGGCGCAGGGAGCCGGAGGCGGCATCCAGTTCATCATAATAGACAGGCTGCCGGGAGGGGCTGGGGATCCAGGTGGTGCCATCCTGCCGCCCATAGCCGGCAGGCTCCTTCCACTCACGCAGCTGGAAGGCGGGGCCGCCTCCATTCCGGAAGGAGTGCCGCTTGTCCTCCAGGGCCCAGGGTGGGCTGATCCGATCGTAGGCCGGCATGGAGCAGATGCTATCCGGCCGTACCCCTGGCGGGTAGTACTGGTAATCATCAGGGTACTGGGAGGAGTAGGGGCTGTAATACTCAGGGACCCTACGGGACACAGGGTAGAACCTAGAGGGACTGAGACAGAGAGGACTTTGTAAGGAAGCCAGACAAAATGGGCACGCCCCCAGCCACCTGCCCGTGCCCCAGCCCCTCCTCCTTGTCCTCCAGCCGAGAGTGGGGTCTGACTAGGTGAATGGTGCCCTAGGCTGACCTTGCGAGCATTCAGGGGCGCCCACTGCCCAGGCACGGAGGCTTGTCTCCAGAAGTGCAAGGAAAGACCTGTCCTCAAAGCTCTCCCCCTCAACCAGTTCCCTGAGGCCAGAAATTTCACCATTCAGAGCTTCCATCTTTGTCTCTTTGTCTCCCTGGGGAGAAACTTTAAGCCTTATTAGCCATCTCTATCTCAGCATGAACCAATTTATCAGATTCTTTCCAGAGAGGCTAAGAGCAGAGAGAACACTAGAGTGTACCAGGCACCTGGAGGGGGACAACGGAGGAGGGACAAAGGGATGGCTTCGCCGATTTTATGATCCTGTCAAGGGCCCAACCAGTCCGTTCCTGGGACTCAACCCTAGTGGGCGCTCTCCCCAGGGCAGGGCAGACCACCACAGTGAGCTGCCCTCCCAGACCACCAGGGAAGGAGCGGCAGCCCCACTTGCCCTGATGAACACAATCAGGCCCAATAAATGTCTTCAAATATTTGAAAGCCAGTCACTAGATAAAGAAGCAAATTGGTCTATTGGGAAGAGCCTAGGGCCAATGAGTGGCAACGTTTTTCTGTTTTAAAAACTGCTTATAAATAATGGCTTGCAAACAGTTAGAGCTTCAAAAACGGAGTGAGTTGCCTTGGCAGTTAGTGAGTCTCGCATTGGTAGAAACACTGGATGCTGTCAAGGGTGGAAAGCACGGACGGATGTCTGGCTGGAACAGCTTTAAAGGCCCCTCTCTGTGACTGCCTGCATGTTTCAGGCCGCCCAACGTCCTGTGAGAGGCACTGGGTGCTCTGTCCCTTCCTCTGAAGTAAGTAGGCAGAGACAGCAAGAATCAGGGGCAGGGGGCAAACTCTACAGATGGAGCCATGGGGTTAGTAAGCATCTGGGCAAGCAGGGAATCCTGGGGTTTTCTTGGTTTCCCAATTCAGCCTGGCTTCCAGAAGGTTTCCAACAGAGGGTGCCTCCATGTCACTCCCCCAGCCCCAGCCCCCAGCCGGAACACCATCCCCTCTCCACCCCACCCCACCAGGCCTCACCTCCGAAGATCTTCAGGAGGGGGCACCCCTCGGCGCAGGTTCACCCACTGCTGAAGCTGGTTCATGGAGCTCTTGCGCTGGGCGATTTTGTCGGGGTTGGCACGTGGGGGGAAGCTCCGCCGGTGCCCCCCACTTTCTGAGTCCTGAGGTGGGAAAGCTGTGCTCCCCGGCCGGCTTGGGGAGCTATACTGCCAGCCATTGGGCTGGGTGGGCCGCTCCCCACCTCCTGGGACCCTTGGGCCCTCTGGGTAAGGGCTGCCCGGGTCTGAGGCTGGTTCTGGTCCAGCGTGGACACCATTGGCTTTCACCAGAGGCTCGCTCTTGACTTCAGGCCTCTCAGGCCTCCTCTCCACCTTCTCGCAGCCTCGGCCATCACCCTCTCCTCGTGTCTTGGCCTCTGGTTCAGGCTTGGGAAGGCTGTTTTGGGGGGGTTGTTGGTGGTGTTTGCTGGGTGGGATGTTCTCAGAGTCTGGCTTCTCGTGGCTGTGGGATGCCAAGGGAGATGTTGTAAGGGACTCCAGCCCAGCATGGAGTTCAGGTGGGGGGAAACTGGGAAGGAGAAAAGGAGTGGAGAAAGATGGACAGACAGGAAGGCAGTGATGGAAACAGGGTTCAATGAATTCCAATTCTGTTTCCTAAATCCTACCATTTTATATACTTGCTCCAGCCTGGGCAGTTATAAAGCATAATCCAAGCTGGCCTGTTGCGTATGTGCTCGTCTTGCCCTGCTGGTCCTCCTCACGTGTCACCCTCCGCTCCCTTCTGCTGACACTCCTTGAGTCCAGCCTCCTAGCTATGGCTGAGACTAACCTCACCCAGACTAGGTGTCTCCTGTAGTCTGTCCCTGATCCAGCCCCCCTCACTTGGTGTGCACTACACACTGCATATAATCGGAACCATCCTTGATGTCTCAGCTACAGAGGTTTGTGACAGGTCAGCCCTCTCTCCTTTAGAAAGTTACTTAACTTCCACGAGTCTTGGGCTCCTCGTTGGCAGGGTGGATAGGACTGTGTGAGATCAAACATGGCAGGCGCACCAGGGGCTGAAGCTGCTGCCTCAAACTTCACAGGCATAGAAAGAGGCTAGTTCCCCTCTCCCAAACAAGCATCTTCTAGGACTTTCTACGAGAGTATAAGCTCCATGAGGTAGGAGCTCGTCAGACTTTTCCTACCTTGTTTTCCGAGCACCCTATGCACATTTCTATTTACAGTAAATATTTATGAAAAGAATGAGTGAAGTTCTGGAATTCCACCCCTTGATCAAAGCAAAGATGGAATCTCATGACAATGTTTTCGCTACACCTTCCCCAATTCAACATAGTCAAGCATCCTTGTTGAGACACTGCTTGGTAAACATTTTCAAGACAGGTACACGGACTTGGAGTCTCTACTGTAAAACTTCCTTCTGCTGGAACATCTAACTTAACATCTGCTAACACCTAACTTAAGACTCAATGCCCAGTTCAAGTAGAGACAGGTGCTGAGACTGCGGGTGATGACGGGGTGAAGTGACAGGAGCAGTCACATGCTGAGTGCTTGCTGCCTGTCAAGCAGTTTACCCATACTGCTGAGTCCTCACAGCAACCCTATGAGGTAGGATTATAATTATTGTCTCTGAGGGTCAGAGGTTAAGTAACTTACACTTAGGTCACACAGTGGGCAAGTGTTCAAGTTGGGATTCAAACCGGAGTCCCACAAAGGCTGTATGCATAACAAAACGAGCAAATGACCCTGGTCTTTGGCTCCTGGCCAGGCCCGGATGGAACCCGGCTTCTCTCTTGGCCTCCACCAGCTCAGAGAGAACAGAAGGAGCTGGCCAGGGGAAAAGAGACTACAGGCTCCGAATTCACTTAGCCAGGCACGCTGCTGGGAGGCAAGGAGTTGGTTCACATGTTCTCAGAGGTTCAAGTCCACGTGCTGGGCTCAGCAAGGGCACAGAGATGGGCACCTCTTCACTCCTCCTCTCTCTCTCTAATAGCAGTCCTCATGCCTATGCCCGGTCCCCGGCACTCACTTGTGACATGCGGCCTGGGGCGCCGACTTCTGGGCTGGGGGGATCTGTACTCGGGCAGCCTCCCCCATGGCCTGGATCCAGGCCTCCTGCTCCTCGGGGCTCTCGGCACTGAAGAAGTAGGTGCGGACCCCGGCGTGCTCAGCCTGTGGGGAGAGGCAGTGCGTGGAACTGTCCCCAGCCTCGTCCACCCAGCACACAGTCACCTGTGGGGAGAAGACACCCACGCCCACAGGACAGGTGGTCAGGCAGGTCGTCCCCCTGACCTGCAGCTCTCCGCCCCATATGGAGCTCAGGGCAATGTGAGGAGGCCCACAGCTGTCCCAAGTGCCCCAGCTGGCATCCAAGTATCTGCCTGGACTAGCTCTCTGGACACCACTAGGCAGCCCAACGGCCAGGTAAGCTGACCTGCCCCACCTGAGGGACAATTACCTCGCCTGCTCTCCCATCAAATTCCATGTTTGATTTGAAGGGCAGTTACCCCATGCCTGGGAGAGGTGCCCCCCTACCCCGACCACATGCCAGTCTCGGCCCCAGCTCAGCCTCTGAGAAGCTGGCACTCTCTTCCGCGCAGCGGGACAGCACGGCCACGCGGGGGGCATGCACAGACACTCAGAGCACGCTACCTAGTTGGCGGCTGCAAGCAGGCGCAGCAGGCGGTAACCCAGAAGCGAGCTCCTGTCCAGAGGAGGGGTCCTCACGCGGCCAGAAGAAGGAGAAGCAGAGAACAGGTCAACCGAACACCAGAAGGAGAGACAGGAGACGTGACAGGAATGTTGAGGAGCAGAGGGAAGTGGGGAGCTATTCACACTAGCCCCTTCTACTCAGTGTCACCACTGGGACCACAGCACACAGCAAGGCTCAGGTCAGCCCACCAGGAGTGGGGGTGGACAGCTTGCACCTGGCAAACCCGGGTTGCTTGAGGAGAGAAGGCAGGGCAGCCCAGTGCTAATCCTAGCTCTGTTCCCGACCAGCCCTGCAACTGTAAACAACTCGAGATTTTGCTCTGGCCTTAACTGATGCATCTGTTTGATGGGGGAGGGTCCAAGAGGAAAAGACGCTCCAGTGCTAGATTCTTTCTGGGGTCTCAGAACACTTCCTAGGTGAGACAAATCTCCCAGAAAAAGCACCTAGCCTTGTTCATCCCATTCAACATGAGAGATCCAAAAGTGTTTAAGAGTCTCAGATGTGAACTTCACTTTGGCCTATGACCCCTTGGGTGCTAAATCCTGGGTCTCTGGGGGTTGGAAGGAGAGAAAACAGGGCTCCTCTGACCAAGCTCCAGGGTTCTCCTAAGCAACAGTGTCAAATCCACACCCTTCGAGTGCTTTCCCAGCCGGACCTTCACTTCTCCTCAGCACCTTCCCCAGCACATGATGTCTTTCCACAGGAGCCATTACCCAGTGAGGGAGCATCCTACTTCTCTGAGGACAGAGATGGGCCTCCTTCCTCTGGATCCGGCCAGTCCCCACCCTCCAGCAGGGCTGCCAAGCAGGTAGGCAGAGACAGGGAGGTGCTGACGAAAAGCCAGTGAAGTTGTGAAGAGGCATCTGGGGGTTGAAACTGCACAGGGATATGGAGAGCAGGGGCCCAAGTAAGCCCTCTGGGGTGGAGAACACAGGGTTATTGTAGAGGGGAGAGACACACAGGTGGGACGAGTGGGTGTGTCCTGGGCTGGTAGGAGTGGCAGCAAATAATTAATTTGCTAAGCATCCAGTGAGCATCCTGTGTGTGCAGAGCTCTGCTCTGGGCACCAGTCACAGGGAAAGCAAAGACATGCTCTTAGCACTTGAAGAGCTCACGGTCAAGCTGGAGGACAAAACATACCCATGGGGAAACAAGGAGAGAGCAAAGGCACGGGAACAACAGCTTGTGACAGGAGAAGGCAGAGGGCCTGGGAAAAGACAGGGTGATTGATGGGGAGCCAGGAGGGGGCACCAGCCTGGAAGCATGAAAGGGGACCAGAGAATTGAGGGAGGTGCCCCCATGGATGAGCCCACAGAGCCCCCACGGGGCTGTGCAGGGACAGAGGAAGGCCATTCAGCAGCAGGCTGGGTGGGAACAGTGCTGGCTCATTACTGGCCATCTGAGGGTTTCGCTTGGTGACCGCAGCAGGACAAGCCTCCCATCTGTCTCATCTCCCCTCCCTTCCCTGGGGAAAGGCCACTGAATAGCCACAATCTGAACCTTTTGTGGGCCACTGAGCACAGCCCTCAGAGTTGGCTTTTAAAGAGCCAGTGCACTCCTCAGGGGAAAGGGAAGGAGGAGAGGGGCTGATGGGCACAGAGATCTGGGGTTTATGGAGGGGTGTGTCAGTCACCGGGACGTTGTTCTAACGGGGCTGCCCGCAGAGCTCCCGAGCTGGAGTGTGTGTGTGTGTGTGTGTGTGTGTGTGCGCGCGCGCGCACGCAGGTCTGGAGGGGAAGGATAAGACAGGCTGTCTGACTGTGTGGGAGTGTGTGCGTGCCTGTGTACAGCAGGCCTGTTTGTTATTGGTTAAACAGCCTGTTCCTATTTCCCCAGCTAAAATCCGGCTCCCTGGAGCCAGCGTTTTATTGATTATTCATTCTGCAGACAGGACCCTTGGAGGCTGGAAACTAATTATATGCCTAAGAAGTCCCTCTTTGTTCCCCAGAGCAGCATCTATGTGTCTGCCCACCTCTCTGTGGCCAGGTGACCAGAGCTGAAGGACAGAAAGGGCAGAGTCTCTGGGGCCCCAGGAACTCGGATGCTGCCCTCGAGTAACCTCTGGGTTTTCAGGGTCTTGGACAGCAATTCTCAACTGGGGGAGAGAGGGCTTTGTACTAAGAAAATGCATGGTTGATATCATAATTTTATATTTGGAAAATGAAAAAGAACCTATGATCTTTGCATCACAAAATACAAAAAGGGCATGGAATTTTCATTGTTTTTAATGGGCCATGAATTTTTAAATGTGGAAAATCACTGGCCTAGGATGAGACAGCTGCAGTCCCGTCTTTGATGGGTGGATCCCCCAGGGGTTCCGAGCAGTGGCACTGAGCAAGCAGGTGAGGTTCATCTCCCTGGGCCCTTATTTCCTCAAACTGTGTCTCTGTGAGGTTTGTAGCTTTCAATTATAATGAAACTCAATTCCTAACTTTCTGCAAAGATTTCTTTTTTTTTTTTTTTTAAATTAGAGCATGTCGTTTATAGAAACTGAAAAACACAGGCCTACAAAACCCATTTTACAAGGTGGCAAAAATACTAGGGTGCTGGCCCATGACAAGGGCTGGAGAGGGGACAGGGTGCAGGCAGCAGGGCTGAAGGGCAAAGGGATAAAAAGGAAAGTGAGGACAAATGACAAATCGAGGGCCCTTACATGGGCCGGTGGGAACGTGCCGTACACTGAATAGTAGTGAACAACTTACATCTGAGACCCTTTGAGTAAGTTTGACTGGGGCTCTAGTTCCCTGGGCCCAAAGTGGGGAGGAAGACTTTCCAGAATGGATCTTAGAAACCCACCCGGCCACGGTTCCTGCCTCTGCCGTGAGGGATTTCCTAGGTGCCAGGCCACCGGGCAGAGGGTCCATGGCCTCAGCACATAACTAATTGTCCCCCAGGAAAGACTGTGGTACCACTGAAGCTCATCTCTACAGGCCCACCCTGGGGAGAGAAGAGGAAGGGGTCCCGGCACAGCCTCACAACAGCCTGCACTGAGCCCAGGGACCACTGCCTGCTCCCCCCAGTACTACCACTTGGGGTTCCTAAGGAGGTGGCTCTTGATCCTGTTTCATTCTTATACGCTCTAGAAGAGCCGGCCTCCCTCCCCTACCTGACCTGGGAGAGGAAGGCCAACTGACCTTAAAGGTATGTTTTCGACTGATGTTGTCTGAGGGCTGCGCCGCAGCCACCCGGAAGCTCAGGAGGGGGATGCTGCCCAGGACGGTCTCCTCCTTCTCATCTGTCAAGGGAATAGAGGCACAAGTGAGATGTGTGTGTGCGG